TTTGCAGCAGAAATGTTTTGATTGAATGAATATACTAAATACTAATAGGTGTGTGTGTGTGTGTGTGTGTGTGTGTGTGTGTGTGTGTGTGTGTGTGTGTGTGTGTGTGTGTGTGTGTGTGTGTGTGTGTGTGTGTGTGTGCGACTTAAGGACTTTTATTTGACTCTATCCCACACACACCTCTGATAACTCATTACTATGACTGAAGGCCACCAGAACGTGGATTCATCCGCCGCTGAAAGTAGATCCTATCAGATTAACTTGAATGTTTCTGCAGAAAACTTTCCTCTCTCTTCATGCCCCCATCAATTAGAGTGTCTCTGGTGACGTCACAATGCTCCTCCCCCCCTCTCAAAGCCTCGCGCCAGGGGGAGCGCGGCTCAGAGAGAGGGACTCAGGCGCGAGGACCTCTTCTTCGTCTTCTCCTCCTCTCTCAGTCATGTTGGACACGCTCACCTTCCTCCTGGAGAAACTCTTCCTCCTCGCGCACTTCAGGGTCTCGAGCCTGCTGCCGCCCCCCCGCAAGGAGCGCGCGGGCCGGAGTGAGGAGCCCCTACCCACGCGGCTGCTGCAGCGCGGGGACCTTCTGGAGGTCCCGCGCACGCTCTTCACGCACTTCGGCATCTACCTGGGCGAAGGCCGCGTGGCGCACCTGATCCCGGACGTTCTGCCGCTGCTGGGCGCGCACCCCAAGCGCTTGCACGAAATGGTGACCAACACGCGCCTGGTGCTCGGGGTCCTCTCCAAGCACGCGACGGTGCGCGTGGACTCCGTGGAGGACTTCGCTTACGGAGCCGCGATGCTGCTGAACGCGATGGACCGCGCGGTGGGCCGGTGCGCGCTGCCCCAGGAGGAGGTGGCAGCGCGCGCGGAGAAGCTTGTGGGCCCCGTGTCCTACAGCCTGCTGTGGAACAACTGCGAGCACTTCGTCACGTACACGCGCTACGGGACCGCGCAGAGCCTGCAGACAGACAAGGTGAGACGCGGCACACTTTTACATCCATTACGCACATTTCACGCATGCGGTGGAGCGGTTTTTACGCACGGGATTACAGGAGGATGCTTTGATGTCGCTTTTACGCGCAGAGGTGGAATATAGTTTAGGGTCGTTCTTTGTATTTTCACAACTGAGCGTTGGCTCTGCTGCCAGGTGAGGATGTGTAACACTTTAAATGGAGTCAGTGCATTCCAAAGATATTCCTTAAGAAGTTTAATTCACGGAACATGCCGGACATCTTGGCACCTAAAGGTCCTCCTGACCATTTCTGGTTCATTTAAGTGACACTTTGTCATGTATCCTCGGTCTTTACGCACGGTGGCACGTTTTTACGCGCCGCATAGCAGGAGGACACTTCGATGTTGCTTTTACGCGCGGAGGGGAAACTCACCTCATGGTTGTTCTTTGTGATCTCACAGCAGCCAATCAGAGCCAGAGCAGTTTGTCCTGCAGACAGATGAGAGCATAACAACACATGTCAAAATATAAACCCATCAGTGCCATTCCTGAAGAGAAGCATTAGAGCAACTTCCAGAACATTCTGCTTCTCAGTGTTCTGTTGACCTTCATGTTCAAAAGCCTCAGGTTTTTCCGCAGCAGCTGGGTTAGTTTCTATTTGTTAGGGACTATTTTCTGCATGGAGATTATTAAGAGAAAAGCCTTGTTTTTTTTTGAGTTTTAATGACGGGTTTTAATCCTGATGTCACTTCTGAAGAAAGCTGCATTTGAGGAACGTCTTCGTCTTTGCATCTTTCTGTCCTGCAAACGTTCTGCTTGTTCCTCCTTCACCTCCTTCACCTCCTTCACCTCCATGCCTTTAGCTGAGCTCCTTCAGACACTTTCAAAAGCAGCGGAGGAACGGCTCCGGTTCATCAAAGCAGTATTTAATATGCTGTGAGGGGTTTATCTGTCTGCAGCAGAAACACTCTTTAGTTTCAGGGGGCTGTGTGGAGGAAAGGGAATCCAAGTGTTTGTGGAATAGGAAACAAAGCGGAGCGAGGAGAGAGGAGAGAGGAGAGAGGAGAGAGGAGAGAGTGTGACGTCCTAAGAGTCAAGAATTGGTGAAAACGAAATGAAACTTGTTTAAAAATAGGCGGAAAATAAAATCTGTGAAATGTCAACAATATGTTAAAAAGTAAATGGGGCAAAAAAATCAATCCTAAAAAATATCACAAATATGAAAAAAAGAATGTTTAAAACACTCAATAAATCCTCTTTGAAGTGTGTGAGAAAGAGAAGCAAAGGAAATGGACTATGTTCAAACATGTTCAAAAAGGTCTGAACGCATTCAGGTGAAGTGAAAGCTCTGCCCTTCCTCTTCCTCCTCCTCCTCCTCCTCCTCCTCCTCTCTAAGCTTGGGGGTTTCCTTGTGAATTTTTTAAGCGAGGGGAAAATGTGGGTCGCTCCTCGGAAAATCCTGAGAACAAGAGCGGCATTCAGAGAGAGAAGAGGAAGAGGAGGATGAGGAGGAGGAGGAGGAGGATGAGGAGGATGAGGAGGAGGAGGAGGAGGAGGGAGATTATAAAGTTGCCCGGCGACTGGTTTAAGAACCCTCACAGCGCTCCTGATAGACTCTCCAGGGTCTTTGAATTAACTCTTGACAAACTGACAAAATGTCAACCACAAAGAAACGCAACAAAGATGCCAAAAAATATCTAAAAAATGTCTGAAACAAATTGTAAAATGATGTGAAAAATATCTAAAAACTATTGTAAAAATAAATTAAATAAATCTGAAAAGAACTGGAAAATATTCTTTAAATATTTGGAAAATACAAGAAAAAACATTTGGAGTGAATCGTCACTTGTTTAGTTTCCTGCTGCGTCTCCTTCACAATAAAAGCCTCCCGGTATCCTCTTTTATTGTGAAGGAGCAGCAGCTTAGATGCTTCACCTTCTTTCCCACCTTTTCCTGTGAAACCTGGAGACTTTCCCCGATCCAGTTTCACTTCCTGTCGTTTTCTAAACTAAACATGGGAGCTCCTCGGGGTCTTCGGGGTCCTCGGGGTCAGATAAACAACCGCCCAATTATATGCCTGCTTTTTAAACCAGACGGGAGCTCAGGGAGAAAAACGAGCTCCTTAAATCAGGATGAATTCCCCTGGTTCCCCGGTGTCTGCCCCAGTGTCTGCCCCAGTGTCTGCCCCAGTGTCTGCCCCAGTGTCTGCCCCAGTGTCAGCCCCAGTGTCAGCCCCAGCCCCAGTGTCTGCCCCAGTGTCTGCCCCAGTGTCTGCCCCAGTGTCAGCCCCAGTGTCAGCCCCAGTGTCTGCCCCAGTGTCTGCCCCAGTGTCAGCCCCAGTGTCAGTCCCAGTGTCTGCCCCAGTGTCTGCCCCAGTGTCTGGCCTTGCCCCTGTGTCTGCCTCAGTGTCTGCCCCAGTGTCTGCCCCTGTGTCAGCCCCAGTGTCTGCCCTTGCCCCTGTGTCTGCCTCAGTGTCTGCCCCAGCGTCTGCCCCAGTGTCTGCCCCAGCGTCTGCCCCAGTGTCTGCTGGGTAAATTTGAGCCATGTAATGCCTTTAAAGGTCCCATGTCATGCTTCTCTGGTTGTTACCCGTCCCCTTGTGTGTTATGAAGGGGGCAGGAGCTCCAACACGCCGTGTAGGACAGAGAGTAATAATGTAAGAGAAACCGATGTGAGTTTGGAACATTGAACAATGTAAATGTCATCTAGACCTGAGCAATGGAACCATGATCAGTAGAAATGGACATGGGACCTTTAAACAGCTGTTCAATGGACATTCATTATTTTCTGCAGATTTTAAAACCTTTTCAGGACCCCTTTCTTTTTGGATGTTTAAAACAGACTTATTTTGATATTTGATAATTGCTATATAATAAATATATCTGCAGACGGGTTTCCTTTGAATACACATTTCAACAGTTCACGGAGTTTGCAAACCTGCAGAATAAGAGCTCCATAAATCAGAGTTATCTCCTCCGTGTCCTCCATGCTCTGCCCACTTCGTGCTGAAAGAACAACAGCAGGTAAACAAACGTACTTTCTTTGATCATGTCTCTTCTTCTTTGCAGTTCTGCGAGTGGCTGAAGTCTCTGATCCGGGATCAGAGGAACATTTTGCTGTCTGCGCTCCTCGGACTCCTCTCCATGGCCTGTTTCGGGATTTCCTTCTTCACCGCTCCTCCAACGCTCCTCGTGCCCTTCACCCTGTGGATGGTCAGCTAGAGGATGTTAAAAACATATATACATATAAATATCATTATGATGAATGAATATGGAGGAGGGAGTCGTCTGCAAAGAGACCCACTTGTCGTACCGTTCACAATAAGTGCTGCTCTGACAGGAAGTCTTTCTTTTTAGCTCAAATCAACCGTAGAAGAAGAAGGAGGTGGTTAGCGTTAGCAACATTAGCATTACAACTCTGTTGTTTAAAATCACTAAAGGCTCCGACGTTATCCCAAAAAGACCAAAGATTGTTCAATAATTTCAGTTTTTCTGAAGCTCTATATCCGGCGGGAAACCACAGCGTGAGAGCGAACAGTCATTTGTTTTTATATTTAATATATTTGTGTACTTTGATACGTACCGTCAGAAGGATCCGGTCCCGATTGTTGGTTTTCCAGTTTCCAGATTTTGTTTTTATTTTTCTGAAATATTTTCATATTTTCAATAACATTTTAGTGAAATATCAAATATTCTGAATATATTTGTTTTGTAAAAATGTACTTTGCATCTCCAGAAAGATCCATTTTGGGGATTTTTAAAGAAAACAAAGCTATATTTTGACAATAGGATTTTTTACCCTTAAAAACAGCTGGAAAAAAACCTCAACTTAAAATCTAAAAAGCCTCAATTCAATGTTAGATTTCTACTCCTGAAAAACCTGTAAATGAATTTTATTATTAGCTTTTTTCAAGATTTTATAAAGAAAATCTCTTCCTCTGGTTTCCTGTCCGCTCTGTATATATCTGTAGATACTCTGTTGACCAACATTTAAAACTTTGTACAGAATTTATTTTTTAAGATGCTATAACTCTTTATACCTGTTTTCTATGTAAATAAAGGAAAAAGGACTTGATTAATCCCTCGGTTGTTTTTATTCTTTAAATTCTTCATTTAATGTTTTTGTAAAAAAATGTTATTAATCTTCCTCTGATTGTTGTACACATTTTTTTTTTTACACATCTAGAAAATATTTCCAAAAATAAATAATAATTACCTTTGGGTCAAACTGTAGAATCACTTTTACAGATATGTATGAATACTAATAAAACATTAAATACAATTAATTTATTTCCACATATTGTTGTTTCTAATTAATAAGGAATTAATACATATTATTAGACATTTTAATGTATATTTTGATGTGCATGTAAATGTATAAATGTCAGTAAATATAATATCATGCTATGATAATAATCTCACACTCCTCAGTGATGTGTTGGCCTTTAGCGCCCCCTGCTGGCAGACTGTTGAAACTACAACAACACTAACAGCGGAAAATATATATATTATTTTCCACTTTCACTTTCTTTGTAACCAAACTTATCCCTGATAATCACTTTTAGAATTGTAAATAATACCACAGTGGTTATTTGTAATACCATGATAACATATTGCAACAGGGACTTTTCATTGATAAAAATGCACTTTAAAAAATAATTGTGAATTATAAAATATTCCATTTAATAATATGGAAGATGTATATATTTGTGTAGATAAGAAACTATTTAATTATAAATTAATCAACAAGAAAAATAGCAATTTGTCTTCGTGTACATGGTGCAAACATAAAGGCGAGGCGAGGCGAGGCAAGTGTATTCAAACAGCACCTTTCAACACAAGGCAATTCAAAGTGCTTTACAAAAATGAAAGACAAAGAAACATATTATAAAATGATATCTAGAAACACTAATTTAAAAGCAAAGCTACATGAATTAAAGTTACAGCGCAGTGTGAGATACACCCATCTGAAGTGTAGGTCCTAACTTTCTTTCTACTTTCTTGTTTAACTTGTCCTTTCGTTATTTCAAGTGTTTCTCTCTAAACGAACCCCCGTTTAGAAAACTCTAATCTGACCCCATGGTACCTTTTAGTTTTCCCCGAAACTTCCTCTTTTTTATTTTTAAATGCACATTAGTAAGTTGGACTTTTTTGGTATCCTCCGTGAACCAGGGTTTTGAAACCAAAACGGCACACGTAGGGGACTGTAACCCCAATACTGACTTTACGACTGACTAACTGACTAGGCAGCTCAAAAGTGCTTTACAAAAATGAAAGACATTAAGAAAATGGCATTAAAAAGCAAAGATAATACAAGTTACAGTGAACACAGTTAAAGAAGTATAAAAAGAAAGATCACCCAAAAATAAAAATAAAAAACGATTTTATGTCGATGTCCAGTATATTGATCAGATTCAGAATCAGGTTTTCACCAGGTAGGTTGACAAGTACGAGGAATTTGACTTGGTGTCATGGTGCATACATAGGCGACAAGTAAAACAAAAATGTAAAAACACACATAGAAAACTATTTGAGAAAACTATAATAACATTACAAAAAAATATATATAGATACTAAAATATAGCATTGAAATAGAATGGAATAAAATATGTGCAGTAATTTAAAAACAAAGAAGATAATGTGTGCATTAATGTAATGCATAGACTATTGCAAAGTACTCCTCTTCCTCTTCTCCTCCTCTTCCTCCTTCTTCTGCAGTTCTAAGATGGTGAGGAAGCTGGTGTTGAGTCGTCGTGTTGCCATGGTGATGCCGTTGTTGTGTATGTGTTGTGTGTGTGTGTGTTGTGTGTGTGTGTGTGTTTGTGTGTGTGTGTGTGTTTGTGTGTGTGTGTGTGTGTGTGTGTGTGTGTGTGTGTTTTAATTTAATTATATTTATTTTATTATATTCAAGGGGAACGCTCTGACCCTTAGTCCTGCCTTCTTTGCCCCAGAGCAGCACTCTGATTGGCTCTCAGCGGCGCGCCATCATGACAATCAATGTTTTTCGGTAAATCTTTTATTTCTTGCTATAAAGTTTAAATTTAAGATCGTGACATCTTCTATAAACTGTCTCTGATCGAGGGTAAAGTCTGTGAATAACAAATGGCGTCAGACAGATCGGGTAAGACTTTATTTAAACTAATAAACACGTAACGTCAGTTGGTAGAGTTTATAGTTGATTTACCCGCTAGCTTAAATGATAGTTAAATTAGCAGCTAATGTTGCTATGCTAATTTTTTACTTTTTAATGTGGTTTTGTTGACGTATAACCAGTGCTTGAATTGGGCCGGTACTCACCGGTACGCAGTACCGGCACTTCTGATTTTTACCCATGTGGTACCGGCACTTCTTACTGAGTACCGGCAAGGTGCCGGTACTCAGTAAAATGCCGGTACTCAGCCGCCGGCAATATACGTATATATTGTAAACGCAGCGCAAATGTGGGTCTGACTCTGCCTCACAGAGGGTGACTGGCTGTCTACATGACGTGGCCTGCCGACATTGCCACTTTCATACAGATCATACTAATGCCATCCATTGGTCTCTGTGTGTCATTCAAGCTCGGGAGGGTGTGTGTTGGTGTATGTGTGGCGCGAGCGAGCGAGAAAGCGCGCGCACCGGTTACGTGTATTGTTGTTAGCATCTGGTGCTAGCTAGCTGCGCTAACGGATATAAGGAGCTGTTTCAACAACAAGGTGGAGGGAAATAGTGATGGGATTTATGGCTCTTTGAAGGGAGCTGGATCTTATGGCTCCGTTCCTTTCAAAGAGCCGTTCAAAAGAGTCGTTCAAAAGAGCCGTTTTTTTAAAGGGGGCGGGGTTACTAGGTTTATCTGCGAAATAATCACCAGGATAATGATTGA